TCAATATTTCCAAGGGATATCCTGAAACAGGTTGATTTTCATTCTCAATTTCCACATTTATAATAGACGATTTCTCGAATGGAACATCCTATCAACTATTGAATTCTCGAAATCTTCATGGAAAGCTGAATTCTGGGTGTTCCATTGAAAAAAAAAACACAAAGCTAATAGCCTACCCGAAAAAACGAATGACACTGTATATAAAACAACTACACAAAATAAAAGTTTGGGTGGTTTCAAACAACTTTTTCATTTAAAATTCCTCGATATTCCTATAAAAACAACATAATGACCTCTTTATACTGAACTTTCCTTGAATAAAGTACCATATTCCTATTTCACATTCTTGGGGGAATTTAAGACTAAGAAAATTGTTTGAAATGATGACTTAATAAAAACAAATTATCATAGGGATTTCCTTTCGTGCGCTTCAAGCGTTAAAAAATATGTTCCATCAATAACTAATCCAAGTGCTTCGTAAATTTTTTTATTTTATAAGGATGCTTGCCAAAAATTCGACGGATGACGTCACAATGTGTCCATGATGATTGCAGACAAAAAGGTTCCTGCATGATTCGTCAATTTGAAAACAAATGTCATTTGAAAGGTATTTTTTCGCTCCATCGACTTACGTAAAATTATTCATACAGAGTGCCATTAGAATTTCAGTAAAATTTTGGGGCAAATCCTCTGTACTTGTACAGTGTGCAACATATGGAAATTTTTTTGATGAATTGCACAACCAAAATACAGATAGTGCCAAACAAAGGTTGGTGCATGTTCGGTAATCATTCAAGGTGCACTTAGAATCGTTGCAAGTCAAACAGCATACAGGGTAGGTCAAAAAATATAAAAAATGCTCAGGAGTTAAGTACCCTTATTTCAGAAAATTCAGCAAACTGTTATGGAGAAAAGTTCTTTACAATTGAAAGTTTTTCCTGAATACCAAAACATGGCCTCCTAAGACAAATTTTAGTGTTTCGATTTGTTCCATTAATAACTTCCCAATTTGTATTTTTTTTCACCCTAAACACTTTCATAATTTGATCATAACAAAATCAGTTGATCATACTTTTGTTCAAATTAATGCACTTTTGTGCAATCAACTCGAATTTTATTTTTTTAGGGAATCACAAACTTGATGTTTGTTGCAACGATATACAGCTCAATTTTGAGATTCCGCAAACCATATTTTCAACAAAGTAAAACATCATTAGATAAGGAGTATGTCACCAAACTGCCTCAATATTTACTGTCAACCCTCATTTGTTTTGTTCCTTGGGTGTCCGTGATTTTTCAAAAGATATCATGGTTGTCGATCAATTTGTTCAGCTTTTTCATAAACATTTCAAATACAAAATGTTCACATTGAATGAAGGTTTTTGAATATGCATATTATCATTAATGATGTTTTACCTTGTTGAAAATAGGGTTCGCAAAATTTCAAAGTTGAGCTGAATATCGTTGCAACAAACATGAAGTTTGTGATCTCCTAAAAAAATTGAAATCCAAGTTGAATGCAAAAATATGCTTGAATTTGAAAAAAAATGGGAATTTATTAACGGAAGGATTTGAAGAACTGAAGAATGTCTTAGGAAGCCATATGTTTTGGTATTTAGGTATGAATTTTAATTGTGAACAACTTTTCTCAATAACATTCTGCTGAATTTTTCGAAATACGGGTACTTTACTCCTGAGCACTTTTTATATCTTTCTACCTACCCTGTATGCTGTTTGACTTGCAACTATTTTGAGTGCACCTGAAATGATGATCGAACATGCACCAACTCTTGGCACTATCTGTATTTTGGTTGTGCAATTCATTAAGAAGATTCCCATATGTTGCACACTTAAATGATCACACTGTATATTGAAATTATTATGCTCATATTATTATTTTGTAGAAGCGAGGAGGGAAAATCCCAAATAATCAAGTAAAATGTATGTAACACCTCCTCGATAAACCAACAGGCGGTATTTCGAGCCGTCATTGCTTGAGATTTGACATTTCATGGAAGATGAATGGAGTCATTATGATATCCGAAACGCAAATGAAATTGATCACATACAAAGTACCTCATTGATCACATACAAAGTACCCCATTGACGAACGGAACATTTTGGTATATAAACGAATTGGGTCCAATCAACTTATTTTGACCTCTACTTCAAGTAGAGCAATTTTGGGACACCCTGTATATAATCTATAACTGAAGTCATGTGAGGGATTTAAGCACAATTGACAATAAGAAATCACTAGATTCGAAAACTCTTGGGGAGTAGGTTTCCCGAAACGAAATAGCGATATACAAATGCTACAAGTTCTTTATTTATATTATCTACTATTTAATTGGAGAATCAAATTGAAAGGTATACACTCTGATCCGAATCTCAGACCATTGGACTATAGAAAAGTTTGAAAGTTTGATGTTTTTCTCCAATATTTATATGTTCAGAAATGGACATACAATGATTCCATTTCTGCCTTATAGAATCTCCGAGAATAGATTCACCTATTATACATAGAAAACATCGTTATATTCACATGTCTGATGTTTTGTTATATGATTTTTCAACAAAAAGAATGATATATATTTCTTTATCTAGATACAATCAAATTATCATGTCAATATCTTCCTGATTCGGATCAAACAGATTATCAAACACAAATACTACAATGTACGAACCTTTCTCAGCCCTCTAGAATTCTTCATAAAACAGTTTGAATCAGATTTGAGTAGGTATAGCAAGGAATTTCTATCGATTCAACTTGGCAACAATGCGCTACCGCTTGTTCCGAGTCTCCACGCGTCTCACACATTCTGGTATATTGACGGTCTGTCGATGTACGGTTCTGATGTTTAACGGGTCTGTCAATGTACGGTTCTGCCATTTTACGGTTCTGCTATTTCACGGGTCTTAATCCAAAAAATTCTGAAAATTTACGGGTTTGGTAGCTTCACGATTCTGCCATTGTACGAGTCTGTCATTTTACGATTCTGCTGTTTTACGGGTCTGTCGTTTTACGGTTTTGATGAATTATGGATCGGAAATTCCGGTAGTCCGATGGATTATGAGTCTGTCGATGTACGGTTCTTGCATTTTACGGATCTAGAGTATTGGCAGTCTGTGCTTTTACGAGTCTGTCATTGTACGGATCTTTCATTTTACGGGTATCAAAAATCGACAGTCTGTCTTTTTACGGGTATGAACTTTTCGCATTCTGCCATTTTCAGATTCTGTACATCACAATTCTGCCAGTTTGCTGGTCGGGAATGTTCATTCTGATGAAATGGTGGTCTACAGAGTACGGGTCGCTGAATTACAGTCTGTGCTTTTACGGTTCTATGACTTTACGATTATATATTTTTATGATTCTGACGACATGAAGAGTATTTTATTTACTGGTTTGGCAAAGTACACTTCTGAATATATGGCAGTCTTTCGATATACTATTGTGATTTATGCATTCTGACATAATGCAGTCTGTCAAAGTACGGTTCGACAAATTACGGGTTGTACATATTGCAGTCGCTGAAATATGGTTCTGATGATTTGCTATTCTGATTTCTTACTATTCTAGTCAAATAAATTCCTACTAATCGACGGTCTGTGTCGATACGTTCTGATGATGTATATGGACCCAAAAACAAATATAATGGACTTATATTCCATATAGCCATCAGTATAGTTTAGTGATTTAGGGTTATAAATAACATGTGAACCCAACCTTGACAAACAATGACTGCTCGTTTTGTGGTTTCCACGGTTGAGTGAATATACCTACAAAATGAGACTCAACTCTTGAAGATGTTAACACTGATAGTGAAACACATGGCGGCGCTGAAAAATTGTGATTGTAAAAAACTTCACAAACGATAAGATTCCCATGAAGTTTCTGAATAACATGATTCGTTTTGCTAACACAGTACCTTCTTCAAGTAAAATAATCTTACAATGACGGATTGAGCCTTAATTTTCGGAAAGTAGGTACGCTTATCAATTGTATATGTATGTATTTGTATAAAATGTTATATTGAAGAAAGATGTAATGCAATAACTGGAATGAATGAATACATGAATAGCAAAAAAACATGGGCTATTTTTATAGCATTGCATGGTTACGAGTTTCGCACCTCCCTGTATATTAATTCATGTTTTCCATTTTTTTTCATGTTCTGGTTTCCACGAAAAGGGATATCCTGTAATGTTCAGAGAACATCGTGAGAAAAATAAGGGAACAGAGGTAGAAATTGGTGTTCTTCTTAAATTTCTGGAGGTTATATGCCTCGGGGAACACCTCCCTTGTGTTCCAGAGCCTCGCTGTTCGTTGGATGAACGAGTCTTTGGAAAGAGATGTTCTGCAGGTCTCCAAAGTGACCACGAAGGGGTTAATCTCACGATGACTGCCAAGGGAGGAACAATTATTGTTGATATTTCAGAAGAGCATCGTCCATAGAAATATCTAAAAAATAGAGCCAGATTGACAACTTTTCTACGGTGTTCCAGAGAAGTGAGTGAGTTTGTGAGCGAGGCATCACCTACGAGACGAATTGTCCTTTTCTGGACAGAATCCAACAGTTTCAGGGTATGTTTGGGTGCTGCACTCCAAATATGGAAACAGTATTCCAGGACAGGTCGGATCTGTGCCTTATAGATCATAAGCAGCTGACTGGAAGTGAAATAGCTCCTGGCCCGAAACAAAAAACCAAGTTTTTGGGATGCACTTTTAGCAATTGATCTCACGTGATTTTCCCAAGAAAGGTTATTGCTGATAGTAATGCCAAGCATCGAAATGGATGTCTTCTAAGGTATGGTTAATCCTGACAGGCTTATGTTGGCACATACCACCACATACCACGAAACGTAAGATTGAATCACCTTCAGGTACCGAATATCGTGATTCTAGGATCGATGATAACAAAGTAATTGAAGAAATCTGCATTCACGAACCTACCTTCAAGGCGGTTTAGCGCCCTGCAGAATTACTGTATACTCACCTCCAAAAATAACATTTCGTTTTGCAGTTGCCGCAAAATATTGTCATTGGCTTGACCTCCTCTTATCGTGATAGTATTTTTTTGCTCCAACATTTTTTTGCTGATGGAATCAACGGTAACTGAATATTGTATGTTGGATATCCGGTGAGTACCGAAAATGCTGAGCATGCGGACGAAATCTTCGTCTTCTACTTCTTCTTCATCTTCCGAAAAGTCGGTGAGTTCATCATCTTCGTCGGAACTGAGATAGTTGAGGTCTTTTCGTGGTTGAGCAGGCTAGAAAAAAAAAGAGCGATAGAGAACATCTTCAGACAGCACCGATTTCTAGACAGCACTGGATATTCCCAAAATATTCTTCAAATTTGCAAGAAGAGAAGAATATATTCCGAATATCCACCGAATATTCCTAAAATACATACAGAGTGGAGACTTTAACTGGAATAAATTCCCTACTGAGGGAGTGAATGATTTTTCTGGAAATTCACATCAACGTTTAAATGTATTTACCTACATTTGGCGAGCAATATGAAGAATCAACCCAAATTGTTTTTTCAAATGCAATCCTATGGATTGCAACCCCTCATTGAAAAGAGGAATCCACAGCGTAATGATCATATTTCAGTTTGCAGTACGTTTGGGGGACGCATAAAATCAAAATATACTTGAAGTTTGACATATTCTCAAAGTATTTTCATCAATTTCGACTTTTAGTGATGGTGATATAAGGCATTTCCTCCAGTTTGCAATCATACTTCGTTTCAAACTGTGAATAAGGCAAAAAATATTTTTTTTGTGAATCTTTATATACAGACACTGTAATACAATCGCAAATAGCAGTTGTGTCAAAAAATTGTCATCAATTGTTCAACACACATTTTGAGCGATTGATACGTTGAAAAAATGTTTGATCTTAAATAACATTCTAATTTTATGCAACTTTTAAATGAAAAACACTAGTACGCTGAATTCCTCTTTCCACCAGATTATCAATAAGGGGTTACAAGCCATAGGGTTACATTTGCAAAAATCATGTTGATAGTGATTTCAGCTACCTCTGGAGGGATATATTCTCGATATTGCTGGCCAAAGGTAGGTAAATAAATTGAATCGTTGACGTATGTCGGGAACTTTCAGAAAAAACATTCACTTCTCTGCTAACGAATTCATTCCAGTTTGAAGTCTCCACACGACTGCATGTGCCTCTGAAACATCCAAGGAATATTCCAATAATATTCGAAAATAATATATAAAGATGAATTTTTCAGGGAATATTCCCAAGTAAATATTCTGTTTTGTATATTCATGGAATATTCCATGAATATTTCCATGAAATGGTATATTATATCAACACCAATCAATATTTGAATTTAATAATACATAATATATGGTAAAAGTCCATCGTATCTCAAAATGGAGTGGTTAGTTTCCATCAGGGATCGAGAACACAAATGCCAACTCCACAATTTTAATAGTGATCAAATTATTCAACCAGATCATCATACATTTTTCGAGCCCATATAATATATAAATATATATAGTAGAAGCGAGGGAAGTCGTTGCTGTCATTTCCATCATCAGGAATAATCTTTGGTGAGGTTGGTTACAACGTTTTTTGATATATAAAATTGTAAAAGACAAAGTGACATATTGTGTAAAATTGCATACGTGGACATATGAGAAACTAACATGTGTACAACTAAAATCAACTGATCATTTTTGTGAATTTAAATTTTAAAATTCAAGAGAGAGAGAGATAAATCGAAGTATCTCATATGTCCACGTATGCAATTTATTCACACACAATTACTTGTGAAGAAGCTATTTGTCTTTCATTTTTGCCATGTTGCCATGATATAATCATCCATTTTGATACATGAAACTGAAATTGTTGTGATAATTGATGTATCGTCCTAATACATCTGTGCATAAGTCTACATTAGTGTATTTTCAGTATCATTTGGCTTAGTAGGCGGTTTATACAAAATGTCCAGTTTGACAGTTATTCATTGTTGACATCTTGCTAAGTATAACATGGTCTATTCATTCCAAGAAGTCAAAGGAAAAAAACTTAGTTTTCTCAATATGGGGAGTTATTTTCGGATATATAAATATAAATATAATCATTAACATTTACAATGGAATAACATGAATAATCAGACAGATTCATATCTGGTATGAGATTATTCATGCGTTATCAAATTAAATTATAGTTATTGAAATAATAAACAACAAAATAAAAAAAAATAATAATAAAACAAAAATCTCATGAAGAGTACATTATGACATGATGAAATAAATTAGTGAATGAGAAATTATTCACTCAGGTTTGATTTTCTCTTTGCAAGAGGATATGTCTCTTGACTTTGATTTTGAATTGGGTGATATTTGTGCATCTTTTGATATTATCAGGTAATTTATTGAATTTTGAGATAGCTCCGTGAGTGAACTTTTTTATTAAACTCAATGAAATTATTGGCCGTCATTCATTCATTCATTCCAAGATGGCGCACACTGAATAACACAGTAAACGAGCTCGCGAAGTATCTTTACCATTTGTTGTACAATAATTTGATCAAAAAATCATTTCAACCTCATTGATCTTGTGGTATATGTGTTCGACTTGATAACGAGTGAATTTCAAGTCTTGAATCTACATAATGGCAGCAAGAAGCCAGCGTGGACAATCACAAGCAACATCTGACCCTGCAATAGTTGCCTCTGTAAAGGAAGTTCTGCGCTCTACCGAGTTTTCCCAAATCCTATCAGCTATTGTCAAAGATGCAGTGAGTACCAAGTTTGAGAAATATATGGAAAATCAGGAGAAAGTTATAGAGAATTTAATAAGCGAAAATAAATCATTGAGGTTAGAAAACCAATCTTTAACAAAGCATATCGATAGAACAGAGCAGTACTCAAGAATTCAAAACCTACGAATATTTGGACTGAAGGAAACTATTAAAGAAGATATAGAAAAAGTCGTCCTCAATACCTTCTCTACTGAAATGGCCCTTAATATCCCAATCGATGAAATAGATCGTTGCTTCAGAGTAGGAACCCAAAAAGATTCTGCAAAACCCAGAGCCATAATGGTGAAGTTCAGAAGTTATCGCGCCAGGCAGCTAGTATTCAGTCATAAAAAATACTTAAAATCGAAAGGCATCATGATCAAAGAAGACCTCACTCATATTAGACTTAGTATGTAGGGGAAAGTTACCTATGATGGCATGTTTCCTATGATGGCATACTATCGATATTTCTAACGCATTTGAATTTGGCGCTCAAATGACCCGTTTGTCAGATGGTCGTTACTGATCTATCGATGTCTACGAACACTCATACGCGTCGGATAGTTCAACAAATATTTGTGGATATAAAACAATTTCGGTAAGTCTCGAAGTTATTTTCAAGCAGTAATGAATTCGATGTCATGTTCTTAATAGACTTTATTCGAGAACACCCATTCAGTGCATGCTTTTGATGAATGTTCTTAATTTGGTACTGTGTTTATTTTGAGGTTAATTTGTAACCAAAAAATTATTTCGATTTTTTTAAGTTGAAGTGTGGACTTTTCCTATGACGGCATACGATAGTCGTTCCTTTGATGGCATGGTATGTATGGTATCCAAATCAAGAGAATTGTGGATTTCATGCCAGATGTGCAAATCCTGGTGCCATATCGAATGTGCCGGAGTCGAAAAACGAAGAAAGCAATTCGTCTGCGAACTCTGCCTATGAAATATTTGTCATCTGATGACTGTTTCGAAATTGCTACTTTCTGATTTATTCCTAAGTTTATGTTTTTGTAAGAACTGTCCCATTATTTTGAATACATCAATCTTTCCATAATGAAGCACTTATTTCAATTCAAGAATAGGTTAACCTCAGAAGACCTCATGAATTGAAGGTATGCCATCATAGGAGGATACCTGCCTATGATGGCACATTGACGTCATTTTCCTTTAAATTTTTTTCTCAGAAAATTTCAAAATGTATGAAGAATGCTATGAGTTCTGATCAATTATGAAGTCATTGTGTATTCAAATTACACACAGATCATCTCCCAAACTTATTAATAACGTGTCAATGTTGATGTAAAGTTAAGTATGCCATCATAGGTAACTTTCCCCTACCAAAAGGCATGTCAAGTCTTTGATTTCCGCAATGTCTGGACATCAGACGGGATAATTTTCATCAAAAATCAGAAGAAGATCCTCAAATTTGATGATCCCAAACAATTGGACGAATTCATTGAAGAAAATGGGAGATAATCTAACATCTAGGAACTTGGTTCACAGGATTTCAGGAGTTTTGTAATATTGTCTTGCAGAAAAAAATTTCTATCATTGGATTAACTGAAACGTGGTTGAATAGTAATATATCCTCAGTCAGGATTCCTAATTACAGACTGTTTAGATGCGATAGACCAACAAGAGGAGGTGGTGTGGCGATGTATATTCACAACTCCCTTCATCCATCTTTCATACACTCAAGTTATGATATCAATCTTGAACAGCTTTGGATTAAGGTAAAAATCAACAAAAAAACATTTGCAGCAGGTATAATCTACAGACAGCCTAGATCAAATATATCGGAGTCTCTCAATTGCCTCGAAAATAGCATCTCTACAATTTTACCAACTGTTGATGAAATAATTTGCATGGGTGATTTCAACTTGAATTTTTTGAATGAAGATGATACTAATGTAAATAAATTATGTAGAATAATGGACTCACTTGGACTATCACAAATAATGAATGAACCTACTAGGATAACCAATATTGGATCATCTTTAATTGATCAAATATTTGTGACCTGTGATGACTCTGTTATCTCTTCCGGAACAATGAGTGCTGAGACAATTTCTGACCACAGGTTGACTTATGGTGTGTTTAACTTCGAATCAACAATAAAAGTTCCTTAATTGGTCACGTTTAGAGAATTCAAATATTTTTCGAATGAAAATTTCACAACTGATTTATTTTCAATTGATTGGAATGTAGTATACCAAATCAATTCTATTGATGACAAAATAAACTTCATCAAACAAAACATAACAAAACTATTTGACAAGCATGCTCCAGTGAGAACTGTTAGAGTTACTAAACCTAAAGCTCCATGGCTGACTGATGTAATTAAATTGATGATGGCAGATAGAGACGAAGCTCTTAGAAAATACAAACATTCTAAATTAGGTACAGATTTAACAAATTACAAGATGTTACGCAATCTCACATTGAGTGCCATTCGACGAGAAAAAAAGGCATATTTAAACTTTG